TCAATTCATTCATGGACGTAGAAGACTAGAAACAACTTCAGAAGTAATCACGACGAAAATTTTAACAAAATTACGCAATAACAACGAGATACGAAAACAACAAGTAAACACAATGAATCCAAAATACACCAATTGCTATGACACACCACACATATATACAAATAGTACAAACAACCTCGCGGTTCATGTCTTGGTGGAATTACTTTGAAGAATCGCAGGACTTACACCAGTACGCCTACAACCCTTCTCAGGTTGACGATTGTAATTTGTGGAATGTCCGGACACAAACAAGATTAACCAACAATTACGATAATTGGAACTCACACAACTATTTAACACAAACATATGTACAATCAACACATCAAATGTTGTGGATTCCAGCATGACAAACTACTCTTGAAGAACTGTAGGACTTACAGCAGTACGCCTACATTCCTTCTCAGGTTGATGATCCAAGTGGAAGTCGTCCGGACACAAACAGAATTACCAACAGATAGATAAAAGATGATATCAATTCAGTATATGCAATATGAACATATGTACAAAATCATACACCAAGCACATTGGACTGCTCATTGATGCGCTACCCTTTGAAGAATTGTAGGACTTACAGCAGTACGCCTACAACCCTTCTCAGGTTGACGCCCTAGGTTGGAAAATCGTCGCAGAGTTCATTTGCTAACTTCCTTCTATGAGCTAAATCCTCAAATCTGAACGGCAACACGCCCATGTCATTGTATCGTAGAATATAGATGACGAACAAACACACGGCATATCTCATCAACCAAGTGTAGAAACAGAGTAATTTACACCAAAGATAATAGCATTCAAATAGTAACTTGAAACTAGAAATGCCTTTATTCGTGCAAGTCAATTTAACAATTACTCTCTCCTTTACACTTGGCTTATCCACACTAAACTGAGCAATATCTTTCGTCTTTTCAAACGCACCAATACTATCATAGTCATTGCAGAAGATACTTGTGTTGATGGGCATCTTTTTCATTGTGGATGTAAACACCAACGATGACTGAGTGACACAAGGTGATGAACTTAGCGGTGGATCAGAAGCTGTTCTTTTTCGGCTCTCAGATATTTATCCAACTGCAAGATTACCACCACTGCTGTCTTTCACTACTAGTTCGGGTTTAGCACTATCATCTGATGATAGGTGGGCTACACGCTGATCAATTACACTGACTGTCTCACAAGTATGCACACCTTTTGGAACTGCATCTGCGTTCAATTCTACTTCACGTTGTAGTTGTACAGAACCTTTATTTAACTAAGCAGTAGTAGGCATATCCCTCATCTCATAATGATCAACCAAAGACAGCTGTGAAGTATCATGATCATTATCACGAATATTCACTTTACCGTCAACTTCACCATTTTCAAACTCTTTAATAACAGCAGTAGACAATATTGGTTCCTCCTCACAAATCATTAAAGGTTTTATATCTTCACTCTGACTAGTTATACTTTGTAAACTTGTGGAGTCAGAACTGCACTCTGAAGCAGCAACTCTATTCTGTGACACTCTATTCAACAACGGCTTACCAGTTGCAACTACAGACTTCTTCACAACACCGTTATCGTCACACAATTCGGAGTCACGTCTGGAGTTTACATTTAGCTTATCACTGAACTTGCTCACTGGTTCACAGTTCACTTCTGTATGCACCTCTTGCACGCGTGTAAAACAAAACCGTGTTTGTCTTGCATCTTGTAACCTATCAGTTGAGGATGTACTACGAAACCTGTTACACTCACTAGGTCTATATGCATTACTAGACATCACGGAGCTTTCTCGATAACCAACTCTCTGAGGCCTACTCGTCATCAATGATTGCATTTTGATCTCAGACTGCTCTATTCTAGGGGTGAGATGTAATAGACTGGCGAACTTGCTCATAGATTGATTGACACTAGTATTTACCAGTTTCAGGATATCATAAAACTTTGGATCGATACCCTCATCCTCCATACGGGAGCTTATCTTCACCCACTTCCTTTGCAGTCGAGTAGGTAGACGTCTTGCTATTACTTCTAGTATAAAACTCGAGTTGAGGTCACTCACGCAATTCATAGAAATCAAAGTATTCTTATAAGTCATAAGATTAACTAGAAACTCAGTGAGTGCCTGGGAGTCATCCTGTAATTGACCACCATTACCCTTAACAGCCTCGAATAATTTCCCTGCAATCATCGAAGGTCTTCCAAACCTTTGACGTAATATGCTCATAGCCTCGTAGTAGCCCTCTTTTGGCTTCATAAACTTACAGCACTGTATAGCTCTTGCAGCATCTACAGTGCAATATCTCATCAAATACATCAATTTCAATTCATCATTTAATAAAAAACCACTCAACATGATCTCAAACTCCTTTACAAATTGTAAATAATCAGCCGGGTTTCCATCAAAACACCGTGGTTCAAATTTAGGGAGTTTGATGTTCCTTTTTTCCCTGAACGGCGAAACAGTAACATCAACCATGTCATGCTTAACATCAGACACATCGTTACAAGTAACAGACAAGTCACCATGACTTACTTTCCTGTTTGTATCCAAGACACTCTGTCCCTTCTTTGACCCAGGCATTGTTGAACTTGACCCAATTCCAAATAAGTTCCAGATATTGCTTGTTCAAAGAGGACTTGACCGGCACCAGGAAAGATGAACGGCGACTATCCAAACTTTCACCAACTGTTTGAATCCGCCAGATCTGTTTCCATCGTGCGAAACTGTCAATCACGTCTCATAAACCGTTAATGCCCAGCTCTCGCTACGCTCGGGCCCACGCTGTTCTTCGAAGATTTCTCAGAAACGCTTAGTTATAACGGACGCAAAAACCGAAACACCGATCTGCCGCTTGTTATTTCTTTATTGTTACACCAACATATAAAAGGCATAAACGAACTAAGCAAACTAAGGTCTATAGAAAAATATTACAATAATAAATCGTTATATTACTTCTGACGATGTTTCACTCTTCTTTCTGAACAGCGACCGATGAGACGATGACTGTCGTATTGATGCCTCCGCGAAAATCGGGGAAGTTGATTTTGGGCAAACAACCAAGAATTGATCGTTCAATCTTCAACTCCATTGACAGATAATATACCATATGTACAAGATTAACAGTCACTACCAAAATGGGTGAGAATGATAATATACCATATATTCAAGATTAACATTCAATACCAAAATATGTGGGATCCTATCACCTCTCCCCGTAAAGAGTGTAGGACTTGTTTTTTGGATCTATTTGAAAAAGTTTCGGAGCCCTTCTTTTTCGAGTTGACCTTTGCGTGGTCCTGGATAGAGCGTGATCTGTGTGTCTGACACATAACTGTCCTTTTTCATTCGTACGATAATGCGGCAAGAATTTATCCAAAATTTCTTCTGTTTTTCCCTCCCCCTTCGCTTTTGCATAAGCACGACGAAACGTTCAGTCTGTCCATTCGATTGGGGATGATACGGGGGGCTACGAATATGCTGGATGCCAAACATTTTGCAGCAACCAAGTTTGTCCTGGAAGACAGAAACGTGCTTTTGATGACGGCGTTGCAAGAGAGATTGATCAGATATATCTCCGGCAGCATCGTTGTGTGGTGAAGACGAAACATTAGAGCATACTGAATTTAATGGTACATTAAAGATATGGAGCTTGTCTAACCAGTCAAGACCAAGCAAATCCAAATCATGGTAGTTTGTAACGTAACATACACCATTGAAGTGATGCTCACCAAGCTGAACCTGGCAATTTATCTCACCCACGAGTTTCAGTATATCTCCAGAGACATTCTTGGCGACATGCTCGGTCGGCAGAATCTGTGGGCAACCGAGTTTGCGCCACGTAGTTCGGGAAATTACGGTGATATCTGATGCCGTATCCAACTGAAGACGAATACGTTTGCCATTAATACCTAGCGTAATGTACTTACGTTTTCTGGCGAAATCGACTTTAGAAGTTGTGAAAACGGTCTGTACTCGAGGAGATTGTTTCGGCTTGAAACGACTACTGCTGTTCCTCCCCGAAGAATTTTTCTGCGGTGTACATTAACCCTCCTTATGTCCAAAACGGTGACAATTACGGCATTTATGCTTCTTGAAAGGACAGAACTTGTCAAAATGCCACGAACCACAGTGCCAGCACACTGAAGGAGGTTTAGCTGAATTCTGAGACTGAGGTTCTGTGTGCTTAACGGTGATCGGAGGACTTTTCACTGTGTTAATCGAACCAAATTCAGACGACTGTCGTTTGCACTCCACCATAGCAGTATCGTGCCTCAAGTTGATTAAACGTAGGCATTCTGCTGTCACCATTTGTAAAGTCATTTTCGGGTCTTGTTCCACGAGTGACAGAAGTCGAGTTCTTATGTCAGTATCTTCTGGGTTCTTCAACCCACAAATAAAAATCAAACACTTGAAATGATCTGATGTCATTTCGTGTGGTTTGAACCTTTCACATTCCTTGTTCACTTTGCCAGCGTAAGTCACATAATCATCGGAAGGCATTTTTGTCAACTGAAAACATTGATACCGAATATTAAACATGGACGACTGTTCACCAAAGATTTGTGATAAAACGGTGACTGTCTCATCGAATGATAACTCACGTGGGTTCTTAGGCAGAATGAAGTTAACATATCTGTTGTGCTCAACAGTACCAAGTTTTCTTAGTAACAATCGGACTTTGGCAGCATCATCAAACATGTAGCATTCAATACGGAAGACGTCTTCGTAACGATTGAACCATGCATCAAATACGAGACCAGATATTGGGTCGTAGTTGAACTCACTGATAGAATTTGAGATGCTTTCATATTTGTCAGAACGAGATGTTGATGGAACTTGAATGGACAGCTTCTGAGTGAGAGCTTCGATTAATTTTAGTTGAGCTGCTTCATTCTGAACTTGCTGCTGCTGCAAGATAGATTTGAGATCGTTCAGAGAGATAGACATTGTAATTGGGTTGTAATTAACACAGTCAAAAATGTTATATTTAAAACAAGCAATAAAGGTTAGTAAAGCAGGATTTAATGAATTCATCAAATTTCGGTAGATCTCGTCAGCTGAATACTCTACATACACGAATACATATACTTTTGAAATTACATTGGGAGATATAAGACTGATAAGTTGAATACTCTACATACACGAATATATATACTTTTGAAATTACATAGGGAGACATAAGGCTGATAAGTAAACAAACTACATTGAATTAATCATGCAGAGAGACAGGTGCGAATATTTTCCAGGTCATGTTCAAATAGATAAGGGGAGAGAGAGTGTGAGAAAATATTCGCACCTGTCTCTCTGCATGATTAATTCAATGTTGTTTGTTTATATTTCAGCCTTATGTCTCCCAATGTAATTTCAAAAGTATATATATTCGTGTATGTAGAGTATTCAGCTGACGAGTTCTACCGAAATTTGATGGATTCATTAAATCCTGCTTTATTAACCTTTATTGCCTGTTTTAAATTCGTATCGGGAAATAAATGTTTTCAAAAATGTTATATAGTTGCGCTGAACAGAATAAAAACTGTCGTCGTTTGCTTGCTATAACTGCAGTGAATTAAGGTAAACCCCGTCGCCAATTTGTTATAACGGTAGGGAATTCAAGGAAGACGTTTTCACCTTGCTCTGTCTGCGCCTGAACAAATCTGCCTATCTGCTTGTCGTACCTTCCGATTTAGTAAAGCACGCAAATATCAAAAGACAAAGGCTGGACTGTGACTGTGTATTGAAGTGCAACAACGACAAAGAAAGCCATGGTATTTATACATTTTACAACAATATGGACAGCTAACAGCATTTGAAATAATTGATCTTAATAGCCAAAAACAAAGTGCGTGAGAGATGATAATATACCATATATGCAAGATTAACAGTCACTACCAAAATGTGTGAGAATGATAATATACCATATATACAAGATTAACAGTCACTACCAAAATGTGTGAGAATGATAATATACCATATATACACGATTAACAGTCAATACCAAAATATGTGGGATCCTATCAAATGTAAACTCCGAAATGCTCGTCCAGTACAAAAGATGATGACACCACTCTCAGCGTGGCAAGCTTCTGAAGGGAATGATCCATTTGAGCACGTTGGGGTGGATTTGTTCGGACCTTTTGTAGTGAAGAGAGGCAGAACCCTATGTAAAAGATATGGCTGTTTATTCACCTGTTTGAAAATGAGGGCTGTGCATATTGAGATGGTTCATACATTGATTACTGATTCATTCGTTCTAGCATTACGCAGGTTTGTAAATCGCCGAGGTGCACTGAAGATGATGTTCAGTGGCAGAGAGACAAATTTTGTTGGCTGTCACGCCGAGCTTGAAGAGTACTTCGAAGGTCCTCAAACGAGAGTTCATGAAGAGTTACTGAAAAGAAACGTCGAGTGGCACTTCCACCCACCACATGCCAGCCATAGAGGTGGGCTATGGGGAAGACTTATAGGAATTATCAAGCGTATTTTAAGCTCCATAATTAAAAACCAGAGTTTGAATGACGAAACGCTGGAGACATTTTTATGTGAAGCTGAACGAATACTAAATGACCGGCCGTTATCACCTGTGAGGGACGACGTTAAGGATTTTGATGTGTTAACTCCAAATAAATTATTGTTATTGAGAGGCAACCCTGGCATAGAGGACTCAAGCGGGGAAGGAATACCTACGATTAGAAGATGGAAACAAGCCAGGCACATGAAAGATATATTTTGGAAAAGATGGTTAAAGGAGTATGTTCTAACACTGCAAACCAGCGACAAGTGGAAAAAGTTGTGCCGAAACTTAAAGGTTGGTGATATAGGCGTAGTAGCAGATAAATGTGCCACAGGTAGGTGGAATTTGGGAGTGGTAGTAATGATACTGTGTAGTGGCGATGGGTTAGTGAGAACGGTTGAGGTGAGAACAAGTTGTGGCATGTTAGTGCGAGATGTTAGGAACCTATGTCGTCTGGAAGGTGCTGAGAGTCGAGAGTCGGAGGACGAACCAGTTTTAATATTTCCAAGCTAGCGGGTCAAACTGAAAATAATTGTAAAAGTACTGATTTAAGTCTAACAATTTTTCAAAAGGTAGTGATTCGGTGAGCAACCCAACGTGCGTAAGGTGTTATTTTGCACATATGTTCATGATGTACACACTGAAGTGGCATTATCTTTCATCTATCTTTTGGTAATTTTGTTTGTGTCCGGACGTCTTCCACTTGGATCGTCAACGTGAGATGGACTGTAGGCGTACTGCTGTAAGTCCTACAATTCTACAAGGGTCGCTCGTCAAACCAGAATCCACAAAACTTGATGTATTGATTGTCAATTTGTTTGTTGCTAAATAATGGAGTGGGTTCCAATTATTGTAATTGTCCGTTAATCTTGCTTGTGTCCGGACATTCCACAAATTACAATCATCAACCTGAGAAGGGTTGCAGGCGTACTGGTGTATGTCCTGCGATTCTTCAAAGGAATTCCATCGAGACACGATCTGAGAGTTTGTGTGTACTGTTTGTATATATGTGTGGTGTGTCATATCAATTGGTGTTTTGGGATTCATCGTGTTGACTTGTTGTGTTCGTATCTTGTTGTTATTGCGTAATTTTGTTAAAATTTTCGTCGTGATTACTTCTGAAGTTGTTTCTAGTCTTCTACGTCCGTGAATGAATTGATTGATGTTAGAGACAGCAGATGGGTCGTATACGCCGGGGAGGCTAGGCTATTGCTGAGAATGAAATGCATACGGAGATAATGATTAGCTGTGATCCCACACGCCGGGGAGCGGGAGTGTAGACGACTGAGGCTCGCATACGTCACCGTTACTTGAATTGAGGCAGAATGAGTGACAAGCGATTGCAGTAGTAATTGGTGGTGAATAGATAAGAGGATGTGCGTGGAGTATCATGAGGTGCTGCTATGGTCACGTTGCATTCTGCAAGAGTCATTCTAGCAAGTGGCGATTGTGTTGCAAGATGTCAAGGAGATAACTTTTAACTGGAAGGCGCACGTCGTCATTGATGTGTGAGATTGTGCTGTGGGTATGCTTGTGGTGTGTTGGCTTTTCTGTTTGTTTTCCATTTCAGCTCTGTCCGTGTGACCCAGGTTCTCGCAATGGCATCCAAGTCAACGTGTATTGGTCGTGAAGGAAAAAAGGGTTGGATCCCTTTTTTGCCGGGGAGTGTCAATGGAGTTGAAGATTGAACGATCAATTCTTGGTTGTTTGCCCAAAATCAACTTCCCCGATTTTCGCGGAGGCATCAATACGACAGTCATCGTCTCATCGGTCGCTGTTCAGAGGAAGATAAAAAACTATGAGAAGTATTATCGTGATTTATTGTCATAACATTTATTCTTGGACCTTGTGTAATAACCTCATTTTTGGCGTTAGAATAAAGGATACCTGTGTCACCAATTAGTGTTCTGGTTTTCGCGTTGGTTATTACACATTGTTTCTAAAAGTCTTCCAAGGACGGCGTGAGGTCCAATGCAGTAAGACATGGAGATTGAAAGCTGTACTTATCAACTTTTGGCCTGCTTACTGGGAGAACTGGCCTATTCTGCTATGTAGTGAGAATTCTACGTTTCCGCTCTGCGTCTTCTTTTGGTCGAAGTCAGTTTTTTTATGAAGAACCGCGGTTTCTATTTTTTTTTAAACTAGTCAACGCTCGAAACGTTTTAAAATGTAAAATATTTCTTAAAAGGTCGTTCCTTTTGCTTTCCTTTCTAAGAGTAATGGAAACTCTCTACACATGTAATTTTTATGTAATTTATATCTGCCACTTAAAAAATATTAATCAGTGTGTTTTCAATAAGATCAATTGGATTTATGTACTTATTCCGCTGATTATTTATTATTTCTCGCAATTAGAGTTTTTTCGGACAAAAGTGCACATGTAAATAAAAGTATTAGTTCTTACATCACGTGCTGTATTTTATTTGTTTTACTGTACTTTGAGTGAGACTTTTGCGATTAGGCGGCTAATGCGCAGTTCACGGTTATTTGAAGTTTGAACTTGTTTGGTTGCGAGTTGGACTTTCCCTTCTTTTGTTTTCACTACTGTTTTTTCGTGGAAGGTTAGTTTACTCTCTCTTTAATATTACTCCTATTGAGGTCTTTTTATTATTATTGTTCCTAGTGGAACATCGTGCTTCACCAGTACGTCTCCACTAAAGTGGAGACATACACTTGTTGGGAATTCTGTACACTCAAAGTGATGTTTGTTCTTCGAGTTACAGTTTTAGGGGTAGTGTGAAAATTTATATGTATTCTCGAGCCAGCTTTCTGAATTCTCCTTCCGTAGTTGTCTCTAAACCCTCCATCAGGACAACCACCTACGTTCTGCGGGGGTTTGTCTGTTTTCGGTACAGAAATAAGGGATAAACTGTCTCTTGGCATCTAGTGTGACTGTGATGCACTGTGGTTTTCTGTGGTCACGCTAAGCAGAAATCTGATTATGGTTGGCATACGATTCACCCCGGTCGGACATCAGATAGTTCAGGGCTATACTGCACAGACTTTTATCTGAAAGACAGGTAGTGAAATAGTTGGACGTAGTGACAACTTCACTTATTTGGGTAGTTGAATCATCCTTAATAAACTAATGGCTTTAGAGTTTCGGCGCGGATACAAATAGCTTGCCTTCCACCTGTCAACTCACATCATTCCAGAAGTAGACGTGATATCTGAGTATCTTTCAGAGGTGTGCTCTGTGCACCATTTATCCTCGTTCTTTATGGATGAGATGTGGCAGATGGAGTTGGAAGATTTGAATAGGTTAGATGTCTGATCCCTTGTATTTGCTTAATATCTCCCCTGGTGCATTCACATCCCCAGTGCATGGGTGAAGTAGAATCGTGGCAGTATTTCGTGTTGTTCTGGGCATTTTGTGGTTTAGAAACTATTCTTTTATATCCACCTTAGAGATTAAAACATCTATAGATGTTTTACAGCAAGGGGTATATTTTTTAAATAAGTGCACCAACTTTTTCGGGAAGATCATCGTTTCACAGAACTCTAGTGATATCAATGGTTGGCCTGCACAATTTGGGTTACCGATATCACATGCTGAAAATCCCATACTTGTACCAAAAATACTGTGTGGTTTCAAGCTATAATCAAAAAAAGATCAGCATAGATATCTTTTTGATAATTTCATCTTCAGAGGCTGTAGAGTCTCATTTTTAAATACAAATTAACTTAACTACAATTATTATTTACTTCATCATAGTGACAGGGAGCTTACAGGTATGAAAGTTTGGTTATATTATAGAGCACAGAAAGAAAACTACACAGGATCAAAAAAATTGTTGGGTGATGCGTAAAACAGTTTTAAAGGAAGATAGATGTGAACAGGATGTGCATAGAAACGGGTTGGAATAATTTTTATAACTAACGATGAAAGAAACGAAGGGAATGAAAAAACGATAACTAAGAAGCCAAACAGTGCTGCATCCATGGTAAATGTAGAGGTTGGACTAGTTTCTTCTGAGCTCAGCTCAGTACATATGACGAGGACTTCTGCAGTACAGAAAGGTCGGGAACACATTGTCTTTGCTGGGTCTTTGTTCACTTTGTGAATGACTGAACGATGAGTCAGTTGAAATGCTATGACAGGTGCTGATGAGGTGTTAAATTATAGACCTGATTGATCCATTTCCGCCTTTTCTCAACCATGCCGGGCGCTTTTCCTCAACACACCTTGAAAGGATGACATATGTGTTTATCTTCAGAGGAGTAGATGAATGACTACATTGTGGTGGTCTTACGCGGTAGTTTGTTCGTCATATCACCTTGAAGTAGTGGGAAAGAATAAAGAGTATCACTTTTAGCGTTGCTAGAGGAAATATCTTTACGGAATTAGAGATTGTCCTCCCTGGCATACTTCGCTTTAAGTCTTTTATGAAGTCTAGATTCATGTACGTTATTTTCTTCGGACACTGAACTACATTCTTCCCTTTTTGACTTTGGTTTCACGAAATCATGTATTGATTTATGACTGTTAACGTCTCAGTTTTCAATAAAACGATTTCTTATTTTTATCTCCAAGCAGATTATTTCCAGAAAACCAGAAAATGCGGAGGTCGGTATGTATAACTTATATTTTAATGACAGTGTTTTTCTTACAGTCTTTGAAGATGCCATTTGATCCAGTTAATGATAGTACAGCGGTAGGTTGCTTTTTCTTCTGAATAATGTAAATCGAATTCAATTGAATGCTTTTGTTGTTTTGTGTGTGTGGTTAGGAGGCTACTGGATCAACTAAAAAATTGAATAGAAGAGTCTCATTTTCTCAGTACATACATGTTTGGAGTCATGATAGTGAAGGGGAATCAGAAATCTGTGTCAAGTAAGGTGTAGCTTGTGTTACGAATCACTTGTGTTAACTAATGTCTTTTGTTTTACAATTCTCTCATACTTTAATGGCATTTACCGTACTGTACAGCGTTGTATGCAAGCAAAGGATATGAGTTACTGCATTTGAATGTGGTTCAGACTGATCGAATGTGTAGGTGTTGTGTATTAATACTGTCTGTGTATATATAATAAGTTGAAGTGATTGAGTCAGTATTCTTTCTATATTGATTCTATTTGACTCTTGGTATTTTTAAAGGTACCAGACTCCCACTAACCAACAAAATAGTGCAGCTGCGGAGGACTTTTCAGTTTATAAGTAGCTAGCTAGGGAGTAAGTGGAGAGTCTAGTAATTATTTCTAGCAAATAGGAGATTATTGTTGGCTGATGCAACTTCCCAAATAAAGGAAATGGTCAAGATGCTACACCAACCACTTCACTCCTGCCTATCTGTAAGCTAGAGGGAAGTCGGTATAGTCGAGTGATTCCTGTAGCATCTTACATTCGACAGGAGCGCTAGAATCGCATGCGAAACATTCAAAAATTGCTGGTCAGAGTACTCAGAAGACTGGTGTATTTTGTCAGCGTCTACCTAGTAGGGAGGACTACATCATCAGCTTATTCTATTCTATGTGAACGAGATTATTTTATAGTGGCACGTCAATCGTTGAGTCTCTGAAGTCGTTTAGGGTTAATTCCATTAGTACATCTATGATGAAATTAAAGAGAAATTTTGACAATGGTGGACATCGCAGACCACTGGTTGTCATCATAATCGCCAGATGACAACTCTTCGCAGGCTCTCACCTGGCTAACTGCATGAGTTCGAGTTGCACAATACACGCTAAACAGAAATAGAATATAAGCAGATGTACAATCTTCCCTGCATATCCAATATTGTTGACTTTGACAGTAAATCTTCAGGTGATATCGGTGAAAGTCAAGTTTACTGACTCGATTAACGTAATGGTTTTTACATCACTAATTAGATAGATTTACGTAATTATGTTGTGATTGTGTTATTTTAATTCTCTTTATTCCTTGCAGAAATTGTATGATTTCAGATATATCTATGGAGGATGATTTTGAGGCAACAATAGGTAATACTCGTAAGGATGACAACAGTATTGGAGGTGTTACATCTATTCATGATGTTTCAATGGAAGCAGTCACGCCTACTTCTTGTCAGATAGTTGATCGAATATCAACTAATAGTAGTGATGATCAACAACAGATGATAAATATGGAGATTGAAGACGGCGATGAAGGTAGTCAAGTTAGCATGAAGTTATCTCCAGACTGTAATCCAGAGGACGAAACGATGATTATTGAAAATACATTAGATATTAAAAATAATGATGCTGCACCTAAATGTGATGCATCAGACATGGAGATTCAAAATGACGGTGTCTCTGCTTTGCCAACCTTTGAAGTCGATGATATGTCTGTAGTTATAAGCAGTGAAGAGACTGTTTGTAATTCACCCGAAAAACATGATACTACTCATTCATCGCAGCATAAAATCTCAAATATTACACCTGTGGCAAACAGAAACACAGAGACAGAACTGAAAAAAATGAATACACCTCATGTATTATCACCGCGTGTTGATGCAGTATTGACTGATGTAGTGAAACCATTATCATCACGTAGAATAACTACAGTATTAGAAGTACCTCTTATCAACTTGGATTTAACCCCTTCACTGCTAAATTCAAAAGCACGACGTTTTAATAGTAATAATAATAATCTACAGTCGACTATGCTGAAAACACCGCAATCGTCTCATCCCGCGAAAGTTACATTTATGAATCTGGTTAATACACCATTACGTCAAGCAGATATCGATGAAAGAGAAAGCCGACTTGATGATAGAAATGGCGGAGTTATGTTATCCCTTGTAAAGAAGGTCAATCCTTTCAGAAATCTAAGAGATGATGAAGAATATAGACCAGAAAAACTTACCTTCAACATTAGAAGGCTACACTATCAGTTTCACAAGCAGTTAACAAAGTGTCAACATGAACCTGTTGTTGATGCTACTGTGAGTTTTTTTGTGTTGTGTGGTTATTTTCACGCATTCGTTTCTTATTCAAAAGAGATTTATGAATCTCATATCGATGTTACTGACTGACAACACTGATGATGGCCTCCTACAACTTTTTAAGAATAATTGCTGGCTACTTTACCAGCACTAATGTGCCGAAGTTGTTTTATTGGTCTAAAACAATGAGAATTTTCTAGTGTTGGTTTGCAGAGATTCCATTGGTTTTACAGGGTTGATCACAAACTGACGTCAGTTAGAGAACCGTTGGAAAACCAACTCGAATTACTGGCTAGCTGTTTCGTCCTAGCGTGGGTTCAAACCGAGGACCTCCAGGTTACAAGGTGAGCTCGTAGACCATCCTCAGCCACTGGAAGCCGACCCATTGACCTGTGAATTCCAACCACCAATTCATGATATATGTGTACATATATATGTATAAATACATATGTCACAACCGCCAGCCAGTGTCATATACGAGTAACTCCTCTTGCATGACTTGGTGGACCCAGCTGGTTACAACTTCTCACTAGAATCCCGAGTAACTTCCTGTGTAGGGCCTGTCGCTATTGAGCATCAGATTAGTTATCACGAGTTTGTCAGAAGTTGGAGTTCATGAACCGATCGGTCGGGTTTTTAGTGGCTGAATGGTCTACGAGCTCACCTCGTAACCGTAAGATCCCGGGTTCGAACTCTGGTGGTAGGTGTGAACTGATGAAGAGTCCCGAACAGTGGGGATTGTTTGGTTTCATAGATGTTGTTTGTGGTGGATGGGCTTCTGACTGGGATTAAATGGGGCATTAATTAGTGTGAGTCCCAAGTGTAGTTGTATTAGACTAGTATAGGTCGTTAGTCATTCCAACTGATTAGTCACTATATGGGGAAGTCAGTTTGATTATCATTACTGCTATTATTATGTTGTCTAGACTGTTAGTGCACCCTTCGGCTATACAGAGACTAAGTGGACTTTTGGGTTAAGTCTTGTGAAAATCAGTCACATCTCCCACATAACATATCTCTGCTTTTGTTTTATGTTCAACTTAATATGTTAGAAATGACAATCTGAACTATCGCTGCACATTGATGCTGGGTGCTATGTTACTTTAATAGCTGATATATATAAGAGTTGACCATTTGGCGTGTTGACAAAGTTTCATCAATGCACACAGACTAGTTAGTGAGATACTGACACGGGTACCGTGAATTGATTCACTCTATCGTGATATACAATTGTGAAGTATTGTTGTTTGAAGCGAAGAATATTATTTATTATTATTGTTCCCAAGGGTGCTGAGTGGAAGGTAGGGCATCAATAGCACGTCTTCACTTTGTTCTGTTTTCTGCAGTCCTCTTGACCCGACTTTACGTTTACTCATAATCTCTGATCTCCTCTTTTCACTATCTCTTCCATGTCACCCTCCGAACTGTCAACTGAGGATACAGGTGTTGATAAAAGTTTTCAGTAGCCTTCTGGAAGTGTTTTTCATGATATTACGTCAATTTCCAGATCCATATAGAAGAACTGACTGACTGACTGACTTAGTATTTGTGTTGAAAATCCGGATTTTTTTTCTTTCTTCTGTGAATTCGGAAGATTGTTGTGAAAAATATTTTCCTTGTGCATTGAAGCCTCCTTTGCAGTTTTGATTGATTTTCCGGGATAGGGCCGCTAACTCCACATCTAACCCTCCCTCTTTCCTTGGGCATGGGACCGACTAGAAAACTAGCGAACTAGTAAACTAGTCAAGTTCTCTAAAAATAACAGGGTTATAATTCTGGCTGTCGCCTTAGATATCTCCCATTGTGTGTAAAATATCACAAAGTAAGCAATGCTGATATCAGATATAAGTTTGCATGTTTTATGTTATGCATGGTGAGACCGTACGCTCGCAGAGAAGTTCAATATCGGCTGAAGCTGGCAACAGTGCAAGAATCTGTGATGATTGCCTTCATGAAGCGATTAGATTTCCTGTGCTGCGGGATTCTTGGGATGCTAATTGTTTGTTTGAAAGTTACAGCGGGAGGTGTGAAACTAATGCATAGTGGCGTGTGCACTGTTCAGCAGTTCACTCCTTACTCCTATATAGCTGCGTTTGAATGAGACATGAATGACATTTGAAAGTGGAAGACATGAAAAGCTCGACTAGCTGTCTTTGATCATAGACGTCTGCGTTTTATTTCCCGTGTTAGGTGGAATAATTAGGTCAGTAATATTGAGGTGAGGCTTTGATCGAGTACTAGGTAAGGAGGGAAAATCAATCGATGATGTGGTTGTGAAGTTACGTCGATTAAGATGGTTAGGAGATGTGTTGCCATGCATATCTGCGTAGCCATCGATCAATCGCCTTCCCTGACGGGCGATGTTAGCTGACTGACATAGTATTGATCAGATATAAAAAGAGGGAGAGCTAGTGATGGTCAGACTGAAACATGGCGCCATCAGTCAATGAAATCCACAAGAGTTCGTTTAAGCCACGTTGAAAGATGTAGAGTTACTTGTTGGGGTCCTCGAGACAGTTAAAACCAATGGCTTGAGGTAAATGGTGATATGACTGAGAATCTTTGTAAAAGGCTGGCGCAGACGCATTCATTCTTTTTGATTTTCATATCCAATAAAACTCCATCACTTATCTATATTAGTTTTCTTTTTCCCTCACTCACACTCCTGTTTATTATCTCTCTTTACTCTCTTCTCTTGTTTTGTGTGGCATATGGAGTGTGGCAGCTCGAACTGCTCCACACGTTTGCAAAGTCCTATGTTGAAACCAGCCATCCGTCAGTGTATTCACTCTGCATTATTCACCATCAGCAAAGTCTTGAATATTCTCACTAACCACTTAGTCGTTTTCTATCCTGGAAAATGTTTGGATCATGGAATATCATTCTATTGCTTTGGTTTTCAGCTTTTAGTAGACCATTCGTGCCTTTTTCAATATATATCTCATTGTTT